AGCATGATACCTCAGATATTTTTTATGTACCTCAAGAAGAACCTTCTACCCCACCATTTGATATCCAAAAAGCTTTAGAAATGCTTATAGTTCAAATGAACAATTTACACTTAGTGACTGAGACTATGAATTCTAGATTGAAAAATATAAAAATGACCCAACAAGAGTTGGTTTCTCAAATTTGCCAAGTTAGAGCTGATATTGTACATATTGGAATGCACAACAACAAATAGGACATCATTCTCCTCATTTTCCTCATTCTCCACCTCCTCATCAATAATTCTTCCCAATGCCATGCTTCATATGTTTTCCCACATCTTTAATTTTTTTATGTTGTAAATTTTTCCTTAAAAACACTTTGCATTATGTTTTCTTATCAATCTTTAGTATTTGATGTTTATATTAATGAAATATACATTTCATCTTCATTATGATATTTGCTAATCACTTTGAAATTTGACTTGTGACATTGGTATATTGTTTAATGATTTGAAATTGAGATTGGTATGAGCTTGAGTTGTGAAATTGAGTTGGTATGGCCTCGAATTGATTGCCATCTTCCTTTAATTGACTTCATCCTTTTTGCTATGATAAAAAAAGAGAGAGAAAATGGTATAAAATTTTTTATTTGATTGATGATCTTGCTGATATGAGAAATTCCTACTTGATGATCTTGATGGTGTGAAAAATTCTTACTTGATGATATTGACATTGTTTTTGTTCTTAGTTTTTTTAAAATCTCTTAAAATTTCTTTATGCTTAAATCCAGATGAAGCTTATTTTTCAAATGAAAAAATGTTTTTTAAGCAAAATTTTCACTTGGTTTTGTTATATCAAAAAAGGAAAGATTGTTAGCCTTGAATTGATTAAAAGTTTTGAATTGACAAAATAAAAAATTGCCTAACTTGAATCAAATTCTCTTAATCTTAAATTGAACATTTTTTCAGTATTCTATCTTGCCAAAATTCATTTAAGAATTAAAACAAACAAATTTTGGAAACAAAACAAGTTCATGGCATGTTTTGGATAGAAAGGATCGATCCCCTATGAGGAGGGATCGATCCATCCTTTGCTCGATCAATCCCCTGGCCAAAGGGATCGATCCATTTTTTTTCCAAAAGTAAAACTTTTGAAAATTGATTAAGAACCAATCGATCCTCTCCCTACAGGGATCGATTGGTTAAGGTTTGAACTTACCTGATCGATCCCTCTTTTAAAAGGATCGATTTATTTTTTATATAGAATGCAAAATGGGGTCGAAAAACAACAAAAGGGATCGATCCCCTCACATAAAGGATTGATCACCCAAGCACTGGATCAATCAGGTATACTACTTGATTGATCGGGTATGTGGTTTCTCGCACAAAATTGGGCTTTCTTATAACTGATCCAATCGATCTCCTACATGAGGGGATCAATCCCCTGATACCCAGAGAACCCCAATAGCTATTTTCTTATATGATATTTTACAAGTTTTAAGAATTAAGTGCAAAACAAAGACTATCTACTCATTTTTTATATATAAATGAAGGCTTCTATCAAGAGTATGAAAAGCTAAGAAGAACTTATTACCTCCATCAACCATCTTATTCAAGCATTCAAACCAATTTAAAGAGAAAAGTGTAAAAAATCCTTCATGTATTAGTTTTTCTCTAAATTCTCTTGTCAATATTACTTTGTACTTTAAGCTAACAAACACCCAACCTTAGAAAGGTTATTTAAGTTTGCAAAACACTTCAAAAACTTTGTATTGTGAGATTGTGAGCTTAAGGAGGAGGATAACCCTTAAAAGTTTGTGGCGTTGATTATCTAGAGCTTTGAGAAGCTAAGTTGTAACCTTCAACATATAGTAGATTGAACTCCTTAGCAAGTGAGGCTAAGGGAGATGATGTAGGTACCTAAAAAAAGAACCGAACCTATACAAATCTTGCTATCTAATTCTTCATCTCTATCTCTTATTTTATTTAAGATTGCTAGTTTACTTGCATATCTTGTGTTCATTTGTCTTAGAAATTTTGTTTTATAGAATTTGTGCTTATTAGATATTGATTTTTGAAAATTTTATTATCAACCAATTCATCCCCCCTCTTGGTCTATTTTAAGTTTTTGAATTAACATAAATGATTGTTCTTTAATTTAATAATAAATTAATAAAATATTTCTTATACAAATTAGGCCATAATCTAAAAATATGGGAAAAGATTGCACGTGCATGAATTTGAATATTAATATGTTGTAATTTCTTTAAATAAAATATTTAAGTTAATCACTTTTAACATTTTTTGAATTCACATTTTCATGTAAAGAAGATATAAAATTAGCATTTTTAATTTTCCTTTTAATATAATAATTAATTAATTAATATTCTTATCTATTTAATCTACCATTTTTATTAAAATATAAAAATAATAATGTATTCAAATATTTTTCTATTATAGCTCCATTTGTTTCATAAAAAATAACTTTTAAAAAATTATTTTTGCATTTTCAGGTGTCAATTTGATAAAAAAACTAATTGATTAACGAAATATGATTTAATGATAATGTGGCAATTTTTCTAAAAATTGTCTTACCATTTTCAAAAGGAAAAGATAATTTTCAAAAAATAACTGTTTATGAATATAATTATTCAATGTGCTTAAGTATGATTTTATGCAAGTTGGATCTTGTACATGATTTTTTAAGTTCAAATTTAATTTGATTCGATCTAAAATATTATTATGTTAATAAATAATATTTTTATTTAATTTTATTTAAAAATTTAAATATTAAAAGATTTTTAATATTAACATTTTTATAGTTATACTCAAATAAGATTCTAAATATAATATTTTAAATTTGAACTTAATTTGATTCGATTTAAAAAATTATTATATTAATAAATATATTTTATTTAATTTTAATTAAAAAATCAAAAAATTAGCATTAAAAGTTTTTTCATATTTCAATTTTAAATATTTTATTTTTATATTATTAAACATAAATATTTTTAATATTTCAATAATAAATAGTATATATTATTATTTTAATATAAATAATAACATATCTAATAATATGTTTATTACTTTAATAGTTAATGTTAAATAATATAGTAATATTATTTTCTTAATATGAATTTTTTTATAATTTCTTATTATTTTTAGTTTAAAATATATAAATTTATATTTTATTTATTATGGTATTTATATTACTATTTTAATACTAAATATAAAATAAAAAAGATTTTTTTGATTTAATAGTAGACACTTTCAATACAAAATATAAATATTTTAATAATAAATATTACTATGTTAATATTAATAAAAATAACATTTTAAGAAAACTAATACTATTTAAATATTTTAAAATATTAATATAAAAATAATAAATTATTTTATTTTAAGTATTTTTTATATCAATATAATATTTTAATATTAAATATTATTATAAAATATGATTATTATTGAATATTAATAATTTTAATAATAAATAATTTTTTATATTTTAATAGTTATATTAATATTATTTTAAAAAAAAACAGATTTTTCAAAAAACAGCCCAACAATAAAAGCATTTTTTATTAATTCGTTTAAATAACAGAATTTTTATCTATTTAAAAAATGTAAACATTTTTTAAAAAAATATTTTTTGAAATCAATTTCTGCAAATGGAACCTAGATAATACCAGCTTTTGCATCACTTTCATATGAAGCTGAAAACTGAAGTATGGATTATTATACTTGATGAGTAGTGACATATAACACAACTTTCGACGCAGAGTAAACCAAATAAGCTTTAGCAGAATTTACTTGTGCTTCTAATCTAAATGGTAAATGCAGGTACCTTCAGGGAGCTCGCATTTTTTATTGACTCAAATCTGGATGTCGATTCTGTGGTCTCCATTGATGATGACCAACCAATTTCAGATGTTGCTGTTGTAAAAAACAAGACCGATTCAACGTCTGTTTCCACAACCTTTCGTGCTCGCTTTGTTGGTCAAGGGTACAAACAGGTAACACCAACCATCTTGGCTCCTTCTTCTCGGTTCTTTAAACAAAAATGTTGATATCGTAGGCTTCCATAAGAGTTCATTTTTCCATTCAAATTTCTATTGTTTTTTCTTCTAAAATATTTTGGCAGAAGTGATGTATATGTTTTGCAGCCTGTTAAGTGCTAGTTTCTAATGGTTAGTTTTAACCTTGAATCAGGTTTGTGGACAGGCAGATGTATGGGGTGATGGAGTTGTGCCAGAAGTATCAGCTCATCTAGAGGGAGCACTTACCATTAGCTTGGATGGAGTCTACCACTCACCGGTTGGTTCAGATGATGTATCGAGACCATGGTATGGTTCTCCCGCAGTTGTAGAGCAGTGGATACATCATCTCCTCAACTAATCAAGTCTGAGATACTAAAGTTAAAACTAAAAAAGAAAAAAAAAAGACTCTTCATTTAACATCGATTTATCAATTATCAATGAACTCATTGCACCCAATATTATTCTTTGTATACTTGCCAATATTTGAAATTGGTGTTTTTTCTTCTTTCATTTTGTTTCTTACCTTTTCCTTGGAAATCCTTAATTGGAAATCCTGTCACTAGCAGCCTTTTATTTTATTCTCATGTTACAGGTCCATTTGTAACAGAAAAAAAAAGAAAACAAAAAGAATCGCCAGCTGTATATTTATACTAGCCTTGTTAAATGTCAGGTAGGGGGGAAGAGAGAAAGGCCTCAAGCTTTTACCCCGGGGCAGAAGGCCAGGAGAGATGCATCTATAAACAGTTCTTAGGCAATCCCATGGAGCTAAGCCTGCCAGATCTTGTTTCCCCCCCTTTCAAAACAAAACCTTCAAATGCCAATATAATTTTCCCCAACTTACAATCCCAATTGTTATTGACATTTTCACAATCATCATAGACCATGGAAAATCAATGATGACTATAGGCTATATGTGACAAGAGCTCCCTGATCCAATCATTACTGTTTGTATGGAAACTAAAATCATTGCAAAAACTAACCCAACTTTAAGAAGCCTTTCTAACTGAAAACTTAACTAACCTAACCGGGATGGACGTGAAATTCAAGAACCTGCATGCATCCTATATTAATTTGAACCTCAAATTAAGCAATATGCTAGAGCACGGCTCATTGCATGGGAAGTCACTGAGCTCACAATGATACCGCTTGCCTCACCCATCAACGAGCCAGCTTATACAAGGGTAAACTTTGAATGTTAAAGTCAACAATGATTTCCACATAGTTGAATGATTAAACTACTGGTTGATTACAGATCCAGTTGCCATACAAAGTAAAATTAAAATGCAGCTTTTTCGGTCTCAAGTCCCTACTAAATTTTTACACAAGTCCAAGCTAGAAACATTCTCAGTTGCCAGACCACCCCCAAAGAGTTCAGCTCTCAAAACGACATGCAAAACATGAACATACATTGAAAAGAATTCAGATCAGAATGACAAGAAGAGCTAGCTCGACATTGGTTGGGTAGCACAAGTCCAAATACAACAATAGAGGTCAGGTAGTCTTCACAAAGTGGTGGGATAACATTTTTCCAATCTCCAGGAAACCAATCTTTTCTTTTCCATCGAAAATGGTCTTAAGCTTTGCATCACAAAAGATCTCCCTCTTGTTGTTGGGATTCTGCAGGCAAAAGTATCCGTATATGTTAGTGTATGTTATTAGACAGAAATTTTCCTCATAACACAATGTCTGAGTCACTCAATATGATATCTGAACAAAATATATTAAACATAAATTAGTAAAATCAGCAACTTTAACATCATGACAAGCCGCATATATGCCAATAATGACAATAACTGCTAACATGATCCAGCAAACAAAGAAACACTAGCATCCATGTGAAATTATGATCAAGGGTATTGTTTCCTGCCTATAAGAAACATAAATATGGCCAGAATAAATTCGTGTTACCCAACTTCATAAACATAATATGAAACACATGCATGAGGTTAGAAGGATCAGCTGACACTGCAGGGAGACTTATCTCAACTATTCTCCCATATTCATCTTTCCCCATTCATGATCTCTTTTCACCATTAATAGCTAATCAGTAATAAGATGCCAATCAAATGCCCTAAAAGGCCCAGTGTTTAGATTGTTTGTAGTGAATGCATATGCCATGGGTGAATATATGGAAGAAGTAGAATTCTCCAATGAAATCTCTTAAGCAAGCATTAAAGAGTAAAAACGAAGCAGAGGGTGAAAACATTGCCTAGGAGGGACGCATATAACAAGAAAGAGAATGAAACACCAAATACAACAAACCACTAGACAACTCAATCACCAAATACCTAAAGCACCTATTGCTCTCTGCCTCCTTGTCAAGGACAGTCTCATTAGCCTACTTCCTCCTTTCAATTTGTTTACCCTCCTCTAGGATCTAACACTAAATTGAAGGAACAAGCCACCCTAGATTAAAGTCGGATTCTTCAATATCCTCATATAATTCTTTTTTATGTCCTTTCCCTAGTCCTTTTCAATACCCATCCAGCAAACTAAACTCTTGAAACTCTGTGGAAATGCAAATGAAGACATCAATTGTCACAAGAAACAGGAAAGTCCCATTCCAGTTTTACAGTCTCAAAATTTTCTACCTAAAATCCAAGCAAAATTTTAATGTGTAGAAAACCAGGAAATGCAAGAAGAAGGGCCATGGTGGGATAACCTGTGGTGAGCAGAGGTGACGGACTCCAAAGTTTTAGAAATCGCTTTTGGAACCGTCCCTTCTTTGCTTTCACCTTTACAACACTTTCTTACATGAAGAAACTAATATTTACCTTCTGTCTCATCCCTTCTCTGAGTTATACCCAGTTCTCCTATAAATGTCACTTTAAATCCAGAACAAAAACACCCCCCCCCCAAAAAAAAAAAACCAAAAGAAACAAATCAAACACATAAAACACCAAAGTTGAACAGCATTTCCCCAGACATTTACTCAAGCCAAAATTTTATTTACCGGTTTTTTTTTCATATTTTCATCATTCACAAGATAGATTAAAATAAATAAACTTTAATAAAATAAAAATAAAAATCCCAAGGGAAGAGGGCCAAAAACACAAAGGAAAAACAACCCAAAAAGCTATCAACTAAAGAAAAAAAACCAAAGTAAAATACAAAAAAAAAAAAAAACTATAGTTCAAGGCAAAAGAAAAATAAAGAGAAAGAGGACCTGGAGGTTGTTGGATTTGATATAGGTCCAGATCTGCTTAACAGCTTCAGTACGGGAAACCTGTTCGGCTCCAAGGAACCGACCCAAAGCGGGAGAAACAGGAGTAACTTTAAAAATCCCAGAGGGTCGAGTCATGGTTCGAGGAGCAGCTGGTTTTGCAGTCTTGGGTTTTGAAGTGGTCGACTTTTTTGGAGTTTTCTGAGCCAACTTTGAAGGAGCGGATTTCGCAGCAGCGCCAGCAGCAGCAGAAGCAGAAGTATAAAACTTGGCTGCTGCTGACGAAAACCCCGCCGCCGCTGGGAAAGCTAACAGCGCCCTGAAACCTTTTAAAACCCTAGACATCTTTGGTTGCTTAAGAGAATTTCGCCTTTGATCTTTTGCTGTAAGGTGAACTGAGAAAGCAAGCTTTCCGGAGCGGCCTTTTAAAATAGACAGAGGGGCCTCGTGGGGTTTCACCCTTTCTCGGTACTAGGCCTGTTTGCTTTTGCTAGGGTAACATTTGGTAGTACGAAGGTTTTGTTGTACAACTTGCCACGTCAACATTTTATTAAAAAAAATTTCCCTCTCGTATCATGCTTCCATTTTGAATTAAAAAATATATCCAAAAATTCGACAACTAACGCCTCTTTTAACATCTACTAGAAGAAATACCTGCATTTTGTTGCAGCTAAACCAAAATCATCTTATTTTAAAAGATTTATAAAATGAATATTCAACGGTAATCTATTAAATATTACTAGATATAATTTGAATAGGAATTAGCTTAAACATTATATATCATTTAATTATAGGCACGAGGATGGACTTTAAAATTAACTTGAAAAAAAAAATCTTGAAAGCAATTATAAATTTTGCATCAAGAAAAACTTAAATAAAAAATAAAATCCAGTTATAAAATTATAACATAAAATAGTAAAATAAAATTTGATTTTTACCATGTTTTCTTACATATTAAAAGTTATAATCACATTTTTTTTATCTTTATATTTTTAACAAAGTAAGATAAACTAAGAAAAAATTCCAAGACAATTCAAATACTAAATAAACATTACATCTTATGCAAGCTCAACCTTAAAATTACTTGTTCAAATAGCATATCGTTGAACTATACTCATGGGGAGTTGCATTTGCAAAATTGTGAAAAACATTTTTCATTGCCTATTTGATGGCCTATAAACTGGTAGCTCTTACTATCCATGCTACCAACACCAGTTATTATAATTAGATCATGATCGCCTGCACAATCTCCCTAAGATAAGGCAAACACCATTGAAATCGATAAGCTCAATGAATACTTTCACTACGTATCACAATCCAAAATGTTGGTAACAACGTCAAAATTATCTGCTCAACTTAAATTTAAGAATGAGTAACTATTCTTCTTTTGCCTATTTACAGTATATAAGTTTGAAAAAAAAAGGATGAGAGATGATGAGATGTTGGCATGTTACAATGTTGCCGTGAACTTTAAACTATTCATGGCTCTAGCATAAGCTTTATGAGAAATCACTAATAATTAGATTTGACTTTTCTTTGACAAATAAATTAAGTTTAAAAAATCTAAACATTTGTTCAAATTAAGTCATTTTAAATAATTATAAGTCAAAGTCAACAATCCATATAAACAAAAACATAAAAAATCTCAACATTTATATAACAACTTAAAAATAGGAAAATCAAAATGAGTAACCAATGTCAAAACCAATTAACAACACAAGGGAAAGTGTAGTAAACAATTTTAGAACTCACAAGGAAGAAAAAGAGGAAAAACAAAAAAACATCAAAATAAGAATAATGGCTTGCTCAATGTCTACAAAAGAAAAGGGAAGAAGATGCTTGTTTAGGATCCGAAAGCATCTATAAATATATTCTTTTAAGTTAATTTCTTTATATTTGTTGAATACAATAGTGAAAGAAAGAAAATAACCAAAAGAGAAAAGAAAATAACAATTTAACTATAAAAGAGACCTTTTAAGGAAAATGTTGTCAAGCATCAGCCTCAGTTTTTGTATTGGAATATCTTTTCAACACACCGAAGGCATGTACATTTTTTCTACAACATTTAAACGAAAAAGCAAAGGCAATAAAATTAAGATTGGAAATTCAAACAAATAGGAAATTATCATTATGGTTACATTAAAGGTATCAATATAATAATGTTTTAGTTGCTACTTAATGACATGATAATAATCTTTTATTTTCTAGCTAGTAGTATCAATTCATATAATATATATTGACATTTTCTTTTTAATTACTTTTTTAAAATTGTAGTCAAAGTTCAAATTTCACAAGTCTGATTTTGATGAGTTCATTGATGAAGAAATAATTTAAAAAATTAAGTCTTAGGCAATAAAAAACATGAGTGCTACATGGAGGCAAAGGAAGAATGAATTGAAGTTATGATGAACATAAAACATCAGAGGAAATAGCTACACAGGTTGATGATTCTTAAGTAGACAAAAATTAATGCCTATTTCTTATTGCAAATTGGTTGACTAATAAAACAATGATAAATGTTTACAAAATATACTATTTACTTTTTTTTAACACTATGATATAATGATGAGCTATTATAATATCTTTTCTTGTTCATTTAAGGAATAAAGTGAGACAAACAAAACAAATTGCTCAAAACTAAATGAGCTTCTTTGTACAGGAATAAATCATACTCAAGGATCATTCAAACTTTAGTACAAATATCAATTTTCTTCGTGGCACTCAATTAAACAAATATAAAGTTTACGTTTTATATGTGTAATTTTATTATTACAATAATTAATATTATACCTTTATAGAGACAAGAAGCTAATGGAATTCCACCATCATGTGCTAAAGTGTATATTATTTCTCATACATGTAAAGATGAAAGTGTTATGAATGATAAGACAGCTGAATTTGTGCTATTTAATTTAGTTTATACTTGTTTTTACTTATATTTAGTTCATTTCTACTAATGTTTGTTTACAATTTTAGGAACTCATGAAAGAAGGTTTGAGTAAAACTAATGCTCAAAATTCTAAAAAAAGTTCAAAGAAAAATGATGTCTATTCAAAAGATAAAGGGCCAGAAAGAAAAAACCTTATTCATTGTATGGGTACAATATCTACTTCATTTAAAAAATATGGTCTTTTATCTTCTAAATTGGTAAAGCATAAAGAAGAGTTACAATAGTTAAAGGCTGAAATTAAAGACTTTAAAAAAAACTTTAAACACTGTTTTATCATTACTTCAAAGACAATTTCTTAATGAGAATATGGATATCTTGAATGTTGTTACTCACATGATGAATAGATAGGTATATGTAACATCTATTTTAGTTTATATATATATATATAAATTATTATCTTGCTCATGAATCTTAAACTTTATTCAAATTTCTTTTAAATTATTTTTAGGTTTTTAATGCTAGTAATGCTCAAGAAATCATACATGAAAACTATCAGTCTTCAAATTCAAGTCACCAACCTAATCAAAATGAAAATGATAAATTCATTGACACATGATATATATGAGGAAATGCTTTGCTTGATACTTGTTTCCTACATAGAATGAAAAAATCAATGTTTGAATTTAAGTTTTGAATCATATAATTGTGAAAGTCTATCATTGCAGTAATTGTGTGCTAATGGATTGTTAGATGAGTGGATGTGAATAAAAAACTGTGTTTGTTCCCATTATGATTGTTCTAGTTTCTATCATTGTGTTTGTGGAATGCTATAATTATTTTTTCAAACCTATGTTTCTATCATAGTTATACATTATTATTTGTTCTTGTCCTTGTTCCTTTCTCAGACTTAATAGAATTTTTAGTTTTGATATGCAAAAATGATTTGGAGCTTTGTCGTAGCTATTCCAAATGGTGAACTGATTAAACATCTATTAATGAGACAATATTGATAGAAATCAATAACTTTAATTGAGATGATTCCTTGTGTTTTTTAGGGCACCTACTTACTACGGACACTAATTCTTTTTATTTTTAATTTAATTATCTAATTATATTTTTTATTTTATATATACAGAAGCTTCTATGTATAAATCTATGATGGCATCATTTGTTTTGAAAATTATTTATTTACTTCAAGCATCATGTTTATAGACATTCAATGATGTTTGTTTTTATCTAAACTTGGTACAATGACTTTAGTTCTTGACTTATTCTAAGTTTATGATTATAAAATAATTTATTTGTAGTTAGATTTTGAGTGTTATTATATATCTTTTACTTCGTATATTTTTACTTTATATGAAACCATATCATATTATTATTATAAATAAATTAATATTAATAATTAAAAATATAATTTAAAAGAAAAGTTTTTACCAACATTTTAATATTTATATCGAGAAATATTTTGTTAGAATATTTTAGGCTATACTGAAGTCACTAATTGTCAATCGTTGATAAAAGTAAAAACACTATGAGAATATACTAACGGGCATTGACCGTTAGTAAAAGATATATTATCGCATAACCCGTCAGTATAGATAGGAAAAATTAAAATATATAAGTCTATCTTGATGGGAGTTAACCATCAATAAAAGGTATAATGATGGAACACACAACAGATGCTATACCAATAAATAAACAATTATTGACGGATTTAAAATGTTGGTATATCTCAACTACTATTTCAACACTTTAAAAACCATCAATATAGGTCTATACTAATAAGAGATATACTAACAGTTAAAAATTAATTAGAATATACATTTTGATCATTGATATAGGATTTATTTTGCTATATTAACGGATTTTTAGATTTTACCGATGGTTTTTTGAGCATCAGTATATGACAATTTTCTTATAATCCTATAAATGAGCCTTATGAAAATGTAAGCCTCCTCTTTATATCATATATGTAAGTATGCTGAAATTGCTTTTGAAAAAAGAAAATAAATAATAAAAGGTGCTAAATCTTTTACTATAATAAAAAAATTCTAATAATTAAATTTTAATTTTTTCTATAAATTTTAAAAATAAAACTAATTAAGTTTACATATGTCATACAAATTAGTAAACTTGACATTGTTGCTTTTGCTAAATCGATTGGAATTCTACACCTATAAACTATTTCATCTCTTTTATGAACATGAATGAACATGCATATATCAACTACATTGAAAAATTACAACAAACAAATTTGATCCTAAAAAATAAATCAAACAATAAAATTATAGTAAGAAATAGACAAAATAAAATGGATAAATATCAATTTGAAAGTTTGAATAACAAAAACCTCATTTATCAATGACATAATTTCTATGGCGAATGGATTGATGTTTTCTAGGTCAAATCTCTCTTCTTTTTTTGTACTTCCTTTGTTTCCTCTCCTTTCCTCTCTTTATTCTTTTGAAAATGGAAAAAAAAATAGATCTGATGAAAGGACCTTCCTCTTCCCTCTCTATTTTCGTTGCTTTTTGAATTTCTATTCATTTTCC